AATCAGTCCGGTCTGTAGCTGTTGTGTGGTGAATCTCTGCCAGCTTTCAGTCAAACTGACTCCATGATGAACCAGCCAGTGTTGGGAAGGTTACTTTGGAAATGTAATAGGTTACAGATTACAAGTTACCCTATTTAAAATGTAATAGTAGTGTAACTTTTTCAATTACTTTATTAAAGTAATGTAACTGATTACTTTTGATTACTTTTCTAAATTTCTAATGAATGTTTATTTGCAACTGTTAATCATTTTCAAACATTTACACCATGCCGGGTTAACCTTACAGTAGTGCTCAACACTGTCAGACTTTCAAAATCCTTCATCACTTGAATTAAGATGATCAAATTTGAACACATCCACCACAAAATCAGACTTTAGTACCGCCTTTTACTTTGAGATTGATCTGAAGTTCAATGCAGATTTAAAATCATAAGAAATAGTTAATAGATGAGAAATCTTTGCATAACTACAGGAAACACTGCATCTAACAATGGTTTGGAAAAAAAATAGTTAATTAAAAAATAATAATAAATAAAAGCATATACATCAGTTCAATACGGTTATCTAATAAGCATGTGTCCTATTCTGTGTACTAAACTCCTGAAACATTGGCGTCTCTTTGTATATGATATGATGATAGTTTTCTCAAAATAAGTAAAATGCTCATGAAGTTACTCAGAGTGGTTCTAGAGATTATGTTTATGTGTTCATGTACTCATATTGAGGCGGCAGAGGCTGAAAACACTGCGAGCTTCAGTAGGCCTATGTGTAGTAAATGAAACCGCATATCTGCGCCATTAATTTCCACGAGGGGCGGACTGGGAAAAAAAATTCAGGCCGGGAAATCTCACACTCATACACCCACAACCAGAGCATGTGAGCGGAGCGGAGTGTGAGCGGAGCAGGGAGCTGAGCGGTAATATTTCCTTAAGAGCGCAGAGCGCCTTTCTGAAGATTCCGCTCCGCTCGCTCAATACAATAAGAATAATTGTAATAACAAATTGGAAAGAGCAGGCTTAATTTTCTAGCAAAATATGATTTATAATGATATAGTAATATCATTTATAATTATAATCAAATTTATAGAATCATTTTATAATATGATTTATATTTTGTAATATTCTTTTGATTTTGCGGTAAAAGCCTATATTTTTGAAAGATTCACCCCTTAAGGTCAGTGGTTAATTTTCCTTGTTTTAGTTTCCATTATGACTGGCTTTCATACAAACACACATATGTCTTCCTTCTTTTTTATCATGGTTAAATGGCATTTTGTTTAACAACATACAATGCAAAGTCATATCAGATTTCAATTGAAATGATTAATTAAATTGTTTAAGTTTTATTTGCCCTACAAATACCTATTTTTCACTCATTGATTCAAATAAGTAGGGGAAGTCGTGGCCTAATGGTTAGAGAGTCGGACTCGTAACCTAAAGTTTGCGGGTTCGAGTCTCGTACCGGCAGGGATTGTAGGTGGGGGGAGTGAATGTACAGCGCTCTCTCCCACCTTCAATACCACGACTGAGGTGTCCTTGAGCAAGGCACCGAACCCCCAACTGCTCCCCGGGCGCCGCAGCATAAATGGCTGCCCACTGCTCCGGGTGTGTGTTCACAGTGTGTGTGTGTTCACTGCTGTGTGTGTGCACTTTGGATGGGTTAAATGCAGAGCACTAATTCCAAGTATGGGTCACCATACTTGGCCACATGTCACGTCACTTTAAATGTTTTGCTCAAACGTTTATGCCATTTATATGGAAGCCCATTTCCGCCACTGAATAAAAAATAAAAGAGGTAATTGCGACTTTTTATCTCACAATTCTGACTTTTTTTCTCAGAATTGCATGATATAATTGAGAGATATCAACTCGCAATTCTGAGAAATAAAGTCAGAATTGCGTGATATAAACTCGCAATTGCGAGACATAAAGTCGCAATTCTGAGAATTAAAGTCAGAACTGCGAGATATAAACTCACAATTCTGACTTTTTTTCTCGCAATTCTGACTTTTTTTCTCAGAATTGTGAGATATAAGCGCGCAATTCTGAGAACATATCAGAATTGATATTTTCCCCCCTCAAAATTGGACTTTAACTCGCAATTGCGAGTTTATATCACGCAATTCTGACGTTATAACTCGCAATTACGAGTTTATATCTCACAATTCTGTGAAAAAAAGACAGAATTGTGAGATAAAAAGTCGCAATTACCTTTTTTTTATTTTGTATTCAGTGGCGGAAACGGGCTTCCATAGAAACGGGCTTCCATACATTTAGGAGGAAGAAAAAGGTTGTGGTGAAAGTTTTAGTCATCAGTTTTCCCATTCTTTCAACCGCACTCCTTGAAAAGACTCCACAGACAGACTAATAACCTAGTGATAGTAGTTCCAGCGCATGCCATCATCATTATGGTGAGTCTGTTCGTTTGCTTTAACATTGCTATTGGTGAAACACTTTTGTGGCGCTCTGAATTAGAAAATTGACCTTCATATGCTGCTCAACTAAACGCCACAGATATTATTATTATTCATGGCATTTGACCACCTAAGCAGAGTTTGTGTTGTTTCTCGCTCTGAAAGTCCAAAGAATAAGAGTGTGGTTTTGAGCTGATGTTAAACCTGACCCCAGATCAGGGTCGTGATGCTCAATAGTGAAACCCTGGTTACACCTCTTCCTTATTAAAGTAATGGAAACATGCATTTCCTCTGGGTGTATTTGTGATTCTCACCATTTTCAGAGTCACTGTACTCTTTCACGCACATGTATGTGCTAGCTGGGTGAGTTTGCAGACAAATTTTGCTGATTTATTTAAATGAGTGTCTTTTATTATGATTTTTCAGTTTGCTGTTGATAATTTAGTTCTTGATTATCTTGATTGTACTTGAGTTAGCAGATGCAATGATAAGAATAGTGATGTGATGCCTGTGGATTTTCTTATTAGGATTGATAATTGTATGATGTGATTGATAAGAATGCAATACAATATCGATCATATAGCTGCATTCTGAAGAAGCAGATGGCAGTATAAAAATTCTCAGTGTTTTTCACGCTTGTGAACGTAAAGAGTGACTAGTGTAAAGGCGGAACCCTAAAGGTGTGAACATACAGTTTCACAGCTTTTTAAAATATCCAACATGTTTTTATCAGTAGCCTGCTTAAGAGGGGTTTGTGTATTGCTGTGTTAATTATAATATTAGTGATTTTATTTAATAAATATAGTCATTTTTTAATATTTTGTGTTGACTGTGCAAAACTTGCTACCACAGTGCTAGGATTTTGTGTTTGGTTGTGTTCAAAGTGGCTACACTCTTAAAAATAAAAGTTCTTTATTGTCATCTTTGGTAGTTCCATGAAGAACTTTTAACATCCATGGAACCTTTACATTTCACAAAAGGTTCAGTATATAGGAAAAAGGTTCTTTACATTTTTAAAATGTTCTTCACACTAAAAAAAAGTGTCGTTTTTTAAAGAATTACTGTCTGCAGTTTATGCAACCGGTCATGGTCTTCTTACAACTGAGACTTTTTCTTTTTCTTTTTTCTTGTAATTGTGATTTTTTTTAGTACACTGTTTTGACTATATCACAATTGCAATTTTATATTTTAAACTAATCTCAAAATTACTTTTTTTTTTTTTTTACCTAAAATTATAGTTATTATTAAGTTTGTGATTATTTTGCTCCA